TGTTTTCTTGAGATCTGTGAGGTATGCTAATGGTAGTTTAATGGGAATTGGGTGGAATCTGTACAGCAGTTTGGGAGTTTCCATATATCTCATGGAAGATTTCTCTTAGGGTCTACTCAGCCCTTAGGCATCACTCTCAGAGTGGATGTCTGTCAGGGAATGTGGATATATCTGGAGAGCTCTCTGAGAGAAAATCCAGGGAGATCTCTCAGTAGAGTGGCAGGGCCTCTGTGAACATCACTCTGAGATTTGTCAGTGTAGATCCCTATGGATGTCTCTGGGGGCTGCTCAATGGGAATCTTTCTAGCTTCTCTGTCACTGGCCTTTCTGTTGCCCCTCAGGGAGGACAGGGCCAGTGACAACAGGAAACACTCAAACTTCCTCCCTTTCACTCTGGCTTTTCCATCAGCACTGTCTTGTGGGAACCTTGTCCCCTCCATAGTCCTAGAGTCCACATCCAGCATGTCACCCCACCCTCCAGAACCTCCTCTCTGGCTCAGGGTCCTTGCTCTGCTCTTGCTTCATGGCCCACACTGGAGGCTGAAATGGTCCTCAGGTGAGACAGAACCATGACAGGTCTGTAGGCCTCTATTCACATGCTGAGGGGCCACACACTCCCACAAATGATTGCTTGTCAGGAGCAGGACCCGGGGCCCTGTCCATATCTTCTGCCCCAGTAGCACTTTCTGTCATGTGAACTGAGGCCACTGGAGTGTGGTCCACTTTGGGGGCACAGCATGGGACAACCTAGAGAAATAGCCATATTTGTCACTTAGTTTTGTTGAAATTATGATTAAGAGATGTCTAGACAGGTGATGAGACTGTGAGAACACTAACCTCACCAATAAATTAATCCATTGCTGAGCTCACAGTGGGATGAGCAACAAGAGTTGGGGCAATGTTGCAGGAAGTAGGACATTGGAGTGAGACTTTGAAGGGTCTTTTCTCAGGCTCTGTCAACCACTCAGCTTCCTGCCCACAGTGAGATGAGCAGCTCTCCACATCCATACCCTGCTATTGTGATATTCCTGCGTTGCAGCAACCTGACCACTGACTGAAAGCACTGACACCGTGAGTAGAAGAAAATCTTTCCTCCTTTTGGTTATTTTTCTCTGGTTGCTGTTCACAGGAGGCAGGAAAAGGAACCCTTTGTTGGAAGCAGGATGAGGCTCAGTGTTGGCTCTCCATGGTCTGTCCCCCCACCCACAAAGATCCTCCATTTTGAAAAGATGATTTCCACTTGCGTGTGTAAATCTTCTCTGGTTGCTCTTTCTCCTTCTTTTCCATGCAGAAGCCAGGACTTGATCTAGAAACCTGCCTTCTGACCCTGGCCAGGACTGTGGCTGTGTCAAGGCCTGCACTCTCTCTGGAAGAAATATTGTGACCACATCTACATATAACATCACCAACTGGAAGGCACATGCCTGTTTCCCTGAGCTTTGAGTTTTCAAGGTTTTGTTAATTGTTCTTTCTGGATTTTAAGAGGCAAGGACATACTAATAAGTACACTACTAGGAAATTAATCTTTCTGCTGAGCTAAGGAGCCTCCCCAGGCCTACCATCTGGGAGCCAGAGTACAGAGAGCCCTGAGGTGGGACAGGGTCAGCAGCCCAGCCTGTGGTGTCTCCTTCCTTCAGGCTGGTTCATAGCACTGGGTGAGCAGGAGCGTCCCGAGTGCAGCACCCTTCATGGCATTCACATGCCACTCTGCCTCTTTCCTTGGCTACACCTTTTGGAATTATTCTGTTACATTTCACTCTGGCTGTACCATGTGCCATCTTTGGAGGGTTCCTACACACACAGTCCTAGCCCAAAGGAAAGGCACGTGACCTTGGGCAAGGAGGACATAGTTTTCAGCAGCTGTTCTGCAGCTCCTGCACACCCACCCACATGCTCACCTGCAAGTTCCATCCTATGCTGCTGCTCTAGAGAGCAAAGGAGGCAATAGGGTGGGTGACGCTGCCATTTCATCCAGACCGACATAAAATGGGCTGCAAGTTCCGTCCCCTTGCAGTCTCTATCAGGCAGAGTAGAGGTTCCCAGGCCAGCTGTTTCTATCACCACCAAAACACCAGGATGGCAAGAGTCTGCCGCCTGTGAACCCAGGGCCTCCACTCTACCCATCCAACATCCCTGTGGCCACGTGGTGGCATGTGAAACTACTGGAAATGAAGATTCCTTTGTACACACATCCCCAGAGCTGCACAAAATTGAAGGGGGAGGGAAGGCAGGGGAACCATAGGCTGAGGCAGATCCTGAGATGGGGTCTTCATAGGAATGGGTCATCCTGAAAGTTCTAATGGCTCTGTGGTTCTTACAATATGTCCATGAAGAGGACTTGAAGTGCAATTATGGAAAATAGGGGGAAAAATGGGACCTCCATGTCACTATCACCTCCTCCCAACACCATACCCTCTAGAAGTGCTCAGAAGAAAAATACAGGTTGATCCCTTCTCATGCCCTAGCAGGACACAGAAGTACTAACTCTGGTGGGAAAAAAAAACATTTATTAGGATGCAGTTGACATCATGGTGTAAAGAAGCCATTAGCACACAGAGGATGTGGTTACATGAGACAAAGAAGTTTTTCTTTTAGGATGGAGGCAGACTTAGGGGCCTCAGAGCCTGGTTGTTCCGAGGAAGATTGAGAGTGTGTAGCCTTATGGCTTCTTGAGCTTTTTGAAGCTTAGAGTCTAAAGCTTTCCTCCATTTTGATGGCTTCTGCAGGGTCCATTCAAGATCCTGATTTTCATTAGGAAGAAAAGACTGTGCCTTCTTCTGGGATGTAGGGCAGGTTGTTCTACAGGCCATAACCTAGGATAGACAGGTAGGTTGTTGGTTTCAGGGAGTACATAGGAGGTGCGCCAGGGGCTGGGCATAAGGCAGAAATTGGGGCAAGTTTTATACAGACCCTTGTTCCTGAGATGGACCTGACTTATGTGTAGGAACTTCACTAAAATTAATAGATGGAGGTTGTGTAGATAAAGATCTTTAAGTGACCCAGGCAGTGGCCACCAGGGACTCACTGTGCAGAGAGGGCGGGCCCCAGAAGAGTAGGCTGCATTCATGCTCTAAAGGGCTGCCCAGGACCTTGTGGATAGAGGGCTGCTGAGATCCAAGAAGCCACTCTGCTTTGCCCTTTGTGCTGCAGGGCTGTGCAGAGGTCAGTTTGTCACCCAGTGACTTTAACAGGTTTCTCAGAGAAACCCAGGGGTAGTCTGTGTTCACCGGTTGGAAAAATGAGCCGCCCTTTGGTTTTTCCTGGCGCATTTTCTGTTTGACTCTCTTGCTGATCAGCATCTCCAGCAGCTTGTGCACGTCAGGGTGGATGAAAGCGTGGTCCCCTCTTCCCGCCTCTGCCTGCCAGTGTGCGGGGCTTTCCCAGAGCACAGTGTCTGGTGGGTGGGGAGACAGATGTTCTTGCTGGGATTTGCCATGTGCCCAGCTGGAGAAGAAGGTGGCCTTGGCAGTTGCCCAGCACCAGGAGAAGAAAGAAAGACAGTGGTGAAGGAGGTCAGGGCCTGAGAGAACCCTGATGAGAGATTGCAAATAGGATTTACTGAGTCCGGAGTCCTGGGGCCCAGTGCCTGGGGGCAGCCTCCTCAAGGCAGGCTGGTCTTCTTGAGGCTCTGTGGAGAGAGTTGAGGTCAGAGGCTGCTGGGTCACAAAAGCCCAGGAAAGCAAGGAGGACAAAGGGCTAGGAGGAGGAGCTGCCACCCAATGACTAGGTGGTCGACTGGCTCCAGCAGGCCCTGGTTTGAACACCTCACCTGGGACATCTCCATGAGAGAGGTGATTGACTTCAGCATTCCCAGGGAGCTTTTGTAGGAGGCTGCAGGAAACAGGAGGCACAAGCTACAGCCAGGGGCAGACATGCCCAGAAAAGTGGGTAGATTGGGCAGGGGTGGGCAATTGTAGCCCACAGTCCCTCCACTGTCCCCCACCCAAGGTTCACAAAGCCAGCCATTCCAAGGTGTTATCTCCCCCTTAGCCCAGGAGATGGAGAAGGACATGGATATAGAAAGTTCCTCACCGCTGCAGAAGTAAAAGTAGATCCCCAGTCTCCTCCAGTTCCCTTCGACACTCTCTAAAAGCTAGAAAAATAGACTGGGTTATGGCAGAGAAGGGAGGCCCCTTGGATCATACAAGAAGATGAGTTGAATATGGTCTAATCTGATGTGACCTCCATATCAGATTAGACCTCCAGGCCAGCCAGTCATCAGTGCCCAAGGCTCCTGACAGTGGTAGCAAGGAACATGGAGGGTCCATTTTTCATCCTTTACAAGAAGCTTCGGCATCCACCAATCCCCCCTGTCCTCACAGCCACTTTATGGGGAGGAAAATCAGCTCATAGAATGAGGAGTCTGCTATAGAGAAGTAAAACAACATTCCCACAGTTAGACCTATAAGTTCCGCCTGCAAATGTAAGCAATATTGCTCCACTATGACCCACACTCGTGCCCCGCCTCCGCTGACATCACCCTTCCCCGGCCAGTCGCACCTTCATCCCAAGCACATAGCCTGAGAAATGTCCCCAGGTCAGATTTCTTTCCCAGAAGCTTCCCTCTTAGGCTTCCTCAAGTGACATCCTCAGAGATCTGAATCTTGTTGCTCAGGAGTGAGGAGTTCAAGTCACGTCTGTCCTAGGACAGAGCCTTACCTTTCAGAATACAGCTCCTCCTACTGGTTTTCTTCTGTCCCTTCTTCTCCATGTGGTTCTGAGAGACAAGAAAGTCAGAGTCTCAGACCCAATTCTCCCTCTCTTGTCCCTATGCAATGTTCCTGAATAGCATGACTTTCTAAATTAAAGAGTTCGCTTGTAATGTGGCTAAATGTAGCTCCCATGAGGCATCGGATTCCCAGTGCTAGAGTAAATTCCAGCTTACTCTGGAGCCTTTGAGGGCTGAGCACAGTCCTCAGAATAGCCCAGCCCTGAGGAGATCTGAGGCTCAGAGGCATCTGCCATGAGAAAGGCATTGATGCACACCAGTCCTCGGGCCCTTTCTGTGCATGTCCCCAGTCCTCTGGGAGCACCACTTCTTGGACATTGAGATTCATTGTTTTGTGACACTCTAGCCCCTCCATCATACCACATAGGTAGTCTAAGAGTCTCAGATTGGTGTCTTCTGCCCCACCTGTCCCAGAATGATATCATTACTGTGATTTCCATTCTCCAAAGTCTGTTAACTGGATTTGGAAAAGTGAAACTAATTGTAGGAAAAAAATCATTGTCTATCAGGTTGCTCACCTTTCTGCTGTTCTTTTTCCCAGCTAGTGAGAAGGATGGATTAGTCTGAAGGAAAGGAATCAATAGGATAAAGAGCACCAACCCACACAGAAAGGCAAAGAGCATATCCATTGCCCAGCTAGTGGAGCTCATTCTCAGCAATGTGGAACCAACACTTTTCAGAAGGCAGAGAGGATTCTCCATCACCTGAACTGAACTGTCACCCTCAAGCTACTGAGCCCTGGGAGTTCCCTCCTTGAGTAGGGGGTGGGGCCCAGACTTGCATCACAGAGCTCTGGTGTCCTCATCACAAAGGGGTCATGAGCAAGTGGCAAGGTACGAGAAAGAAGAGACCACACCATCACCACCCCCCATCCTCCAGCCTAGCATATCTTCCACCTGTGTATCTTCTACATCCCTCCTTCCAATCCCACCTGCTCTGTCTGTCAGGGTTTCACCCCCAAGCTCCAGATGGGACTGTTTCCTTAGTGTCTCTGCCTGATCACTATCAAGTTCACAGTTCTACAAGTATGGAGCTATCTCTGACATGTTGGTATTTCACAGGCATTACCACACTCTGGTTCTCATCTTTCTGCAGCTCCAACTTCTTACAGAATGTGATTTGGCTTTTTTTGCATTATGTCAACTCTGGCAAACCTGAAATTTCTTGTGTACTTAATTTAGTATTGTGAATTTTGAACAAAAAGCTTGTATAATTTTCAGAATTTTGTTCTCTTCATCTAGATGGTCAAAAAGAAAAGAAGTTAATGTCTTATTAAAATTTCACCCAACTAAAATCTGCAACAGATCTTAAAAAAACATAATTGCTTCTAAAATCAATAAAAAACTGTAAAAGAACTTTAGTAACTTCTGTACATGCACCCACATGCATACATGTGCACTCATTCCTTCACAAAACCATTCCCACATTTTGATTAATCAATCCAGTATTTTCAAATGTAAGAATGAAAGTTTCTTTGCCATTCTAAAATACTTCTTGTTAGGTAGTTGTGCAGGCAGCATATATTTTCGGGCTTTGTTTTGCTTAGAATATGATCATTGTTTTCAGTGTTAAAGGATAGATTTTTCTGAATATAGAATCTTTGGTTGGAGTTGTTTTCTTCTTCAACCTCTTTGACTATGCCATCCACTGCCTTCCTTCCATTGCTTCTGATGAGATGTCAGCTGTTAATCTCATTCCAGTTTCCTTGTACAGGAAAAGAAGTTTTTCTCTACTGCTATGAAGAGCCTCTGATTTGGCATAGTTTGTGATCCACTGGGAAACTGATATATCTGATTTTATTTTTAGAGGGGAAAATCTGTAGATTAGTATTTTATTTCAAAAGTGTAAGTTTTTAGCAATTATTTGTATAAGTATTGTCTTAGTTTCTTATTGCTGGAACAATATACCCAACACTCACAAGTTAAAGGAGAAAAGTTTAGATCACAGTCTGTAGAGGTTTCAGTCCATAGTCAGATGGCTCCAGGGCAGAGAGGCATGGCAGAGAGACATGGTAGGGGATAAATAGTTCATGGCATGGCAGATAAAAGGCAGAGACTTCCTTCTTTTTCCCTTTATATTCCATCCAGGCTACAAGCTTATTGACTGGTGCCACACACACCCAACGTGGATAGGTCTTTCCTCTTCAGTAAGTCTATCATCCACACCCAGAACTCTGCTAAGGCAATCAGTAGACTAATCCAGTATCACACATCCATGATGCAGTCACTCTCCAGAACTCCACCTACAGCCACAACAAGTATTTTCTTCCCTATTTTGTTTCCTTTATTTCTGAGGCTCTCATTCCACATATATTGGCCGGCTTGATGGTGAGAGTGTCTGGATATTTATTACTATACCTCTTACTCAAAAAAAACTTAGCTTCATTTTATTGTTTTGCTTTTGTTCTTTATTCTACATTAGTTGGACTTATTATGTGGGCCTATTTCCAAGCTCTCTTTTCTGTTCTCTACATATGTTTGCTTAAACTTTCTATATAATCCCACTCTCTTGTTTATTGCTGCTTGATAGAGTGTTGGATTACATTTCTTTCTTTCTCAAAGAGCACTTGTGTCAAAACTGCACTACTCAAGTTTACACACTGACAGAGACACAGTGTAAGCATTAAATCAAAATAGAAGACAACTCAATGAGGTCTCAAGCGGTTTGTTCTGTGGCTGGCTCAGCTGTTACATGCTACAGTGTGCAGAAACAGGGGCCTCCCTGACTTACTGTCTGTTGGACTGTGGGCCTGTGGTCATGGCTTACTCCCTAAGTGGGCTCAAAAATATGCCAGGATGCTGCAGCTGGCCTTGTGCTCGAGCATGCCACATCATGCTCAGTTGTAGTAATCACTCATGATCTTAGGCCTGTTGGCCTACATATGTGACATGGTCCATTGCACGAACCCCCAGCTGTTGCTACCATGAGTCTAATAGGAGTGACATCCATGGCACTATCTCGATGGATAGTGAGGATTTGTCTTGAAAAATTGCTAATGAAGAATTATTTTTCCATCCACAACTCTTTTGCTATCTGTTTTTCCTATGCAAACTTTGCTGTTAACAAGACACAATGTGTATATATCCCTGATGTCATATAGTATACTTCAGTCACACATGAAAACCGAAAATAATGCCTCATCTAATTCTATCCTTTCAGTAGAATAGATGATGTCACTGAGTTGGTTCTTGCAGCTCCTGGTAGAAAATACTGGCTTTTGCTGCTCCTTTGCGTAACTGTTCTGTCTCCCTCCCTTTCTCTGTCTCTTTTCTTTCTCTCTCTCTCTCTCTTTCTCTCTCTCTCTCTCTCTCTCTCTCTGTGTGTGTGTGTGTGTGTGGGTGGGTGTGTGTGTGTGTACTCTGCTGTGGATTCTGTTCACCAGTAGGAAGAATGAGAAAACTGTCTATATAATCCTATAGTCCCTCAAAGGCTCAGGCACATGGCAGGAGAGGAAGACATAGCCAGTCCTGAGGGGTGAAATGTATGGATTCAGTTTGATGTGACTGAAGGGCTTCTGAGTCATAGCTGCCATGATTGCCCCAGAGTAACTCTAGTCGATTTTTCCTGCATTGCTTACTAACAAACTATAGATAAACAGAATGCGTAGAGTGGTATGCGAGCCTTAACCTTGACACCAAGAATGTGCGTGACTCCTTGATCATAATATAAACCAGCTACATTCCCACAAGGATGAATTCCTCTTTGTACTAACTCATGTACACACCTCTCCTTCTGAACCAAATTATGGGGAAAGAACTGCCTCCCCAATCATCCTGTAAGCATGTTTGAACTAGCATGATTGAAAACATGATTGTTTTCTCTATTCTGAATATTTGTATATTCAATGTATATAAATCTTCATTCATGCAGACTAGTTCAAACCTGTAAGCATGCCCCCCAATAGAGTTCACTCTGTGCAGTCCAGACCCCCTTGCCTGTCTTTCTTTGGTCTTGTGGCACCTTGAGCCTGGTTCTTGCACATTGAGATCTAGTTGTTGTGGATCAAAGCAGCATAAAACAATAACCTAAGGATAGGGGCTGGAAGTTCTCAATCAGGACTGAAATAAAAGCACTGTTCACTTACAAACACAGGTTTTTCACTCAGTGCACATTTTGAATCGATTCACATATGAAAAACAATCTGAATTTTTCTTATGTTCAAAATATTCAATATTTGCCAAGATCATCATTCTCAATTTTGTCTCTTTTGTTTACTCTACTCTGAGTATTTGTATATTCAATGCATATAAATCCTCCTTCATGCAGATTAGTTCAAACCTATTACCAGGTGAATAGGGACCCTAAATAGATTCTCTACCTGCCCCTTTTTTCTCAGCCAAAGGCTTTTCTCTCCCCATTCTCCTCATCAAGGTCTCTCATTCTGGCTGAACATCTCCTGTGTTGCCCCTTTACTCATCAGGTAAGAATGCTAGGGGTCTCTGATTCTTGAGGCTTGATGTGTAGTGTTTTTCAACTTTACAGCGGTGTGGAAGCATCACAGTCCAATCACTGTTTTCCTTTTTCAGTACAGTACCCAATAAATTACCCAATGTGTTGAGTCCCTTATCATAAAATAGACTGTGTGAAATAGTTTTGCCAACCTTAGATTACTATCAGTGTTTGAACATCTTTAAGGTACCTGAGGCTCTCACTGCCACTAGCTGCTTTTTCCCCTGAGTAGAGAGGGCATGGGTGTCCTGGGAACGTGACCTATTGATCCTGGACATGGTATGAAAGCTGAACAAAGAGGCATGAGAAAGCAAGATGCCTGTGCTGGGGAGCTCCTTACTGTGACTACCCACAAGGATGCCAGTGGCCAGGGCTGAGTCCTGAGGCTGGTGGTTCTCTGTCTCCAACTCCACTTGCATCTCCACCTCACTAACAACCAATTTTGTTTCAGGCCTGCATCTCCATGATCTTGGGACATAAAAATGCTTGAAAGAAGGGGCTTTCAGTGGTTCCTGGAGACCTAACCTCCCAGATGCTTTGGGCTTTGACCTTCACACTGGCTCCCATGTCATTTCCCTTGCAGCAGGCTGCTCCACCTCTGCCTTCCTGGTATTTTCAGCCAGTGAAGATTGGGATCCTACTCTGAACTCCAGTGCGGCCACACTATGGCATGTGCCTCATGACACCACAACTCCTCTCTCCTGTCATGGTTCATTACCTCTGGTCTTAGACTTGGCTCAGGGTGGCCTCTCTTGCTCCCTAGGCCAGTCATCTGCCAGGTACTCCCAGAAATCACCTCCTAAAGGTCGTACTTCTCAAGACCCATGAAGCCACTTACTCAATCCTCATCATTCTCCTGGATTTTCACTGAGGTGCTTCCAGAAATCTTGAGCAGATATTCTGGGTCTAGCTCTGGGTCTTGCTCTAGACTCTGTTTTGAATTGTCTGGTTTGAACATTACAGGATCCTTCTTCAAGAGTCTTCCACAGCATATAATTAGGAGCCATGGGACTATACCTCTCCACTCATTCAAATCTGGGCAATTCCCCAGGGTCAAACCTTCTAACTTTCTTAAGGGGGTCAATTGCCTGGAGGCAGGGATGAAAAGGAACCCACAGTGGATTCAACTGACCTGGCTCTTCACTCTGTCAGTCACTCTGGCAATCGGGTGCATTCAAGGTGGTATGGCGGTAGACCCAGGGCATATTTCAAACCCTTAAGCTCATTCCACTCCTGCACCATTTTTCCTATCCACATGCACTGTTCTTCCTTTCTATTTGTGTAGTTCTCCTTTCCACCTTCATGGGCCCAGT